ACTTACTTGACCTGAGGGATGTTGAGGACATCCCATCCAGCCGAGGCACTCTCGTTGTTCTTCTGGAAGGCATGTGCAGCATACAGATTGTATTGTCCCCAAATGCTGTTCATCAATTTGCTGTTGTAATTGGTAAGTAGCTCAACGGCATCAATTCCTTTAAAGAAGAAAGTTTCAGTAAGTGATAATAGCATTCACAGGATTTAATGCGATAAAGCGGTGGTTGCAGCGTATTCTATAAAAAAATTTTTTTTTTTAGGATATGCTGTAACCTTTTTTTTTTTTATAGTACTTTGTTTTAATATATCAATTTTTATCAGTTTTAGAACTAAACCATGACCTCCTACATCAGAAAGCCTCCACACGGTTTTTTATTTGTAGTTTGCGCAGACTATTTAAAAAGTGAACCATTAGTGCGCATGAACCCAAATTCTATTTTATAAGTAATTGAGAGCAATTTATCATATATATTTGAGATTTGAATCTGATTAGTATACATATTGATTATATATACAAATCAGTACAGATCCTGATCATTATGATCAGCGATTATATATACTAATCAGTATCAGTACAGATATGTATATATTGATTAGTGGTTGACAGGTAAATTAGACAGACCTATTTACATACCTGCCAACTTTTAAACACATTTGGCGTAAAATTTTATTTCATTATTTAAAGTGGTAGTAAAATGTATGCTTTCTATATATTCCTTGCATTTATAAACTTAATTTATAATCTTTTTGATTCACCACTATTTTTAAAAAAATTAATCTAATTATATTTAAATAAATTATTATAATTATACTTTGAAAGTCCACATGTTCATCTTTATTCATTGATAGTTCATTGGGGAATATCATCCTCGAAAGGATTAAAAGTTGGCAGGTATGCAATCATATTCATAAATTAAACAAATTTTGAAAAATATATTTGCTACCACTTTATTACTTTTACTAGATATTCTATTAAATGTCTCATTCGTAAACTGAGTTACCTTCAGAGTGATCTGATCAGACAACCTATAAGAAACCGTGTGGAGGCTTTCAGTTATAGGAGGCGTTGACTACATTCATTCCGAATTTGAACATAGGGCTTCTACCATATCTTTCCATCTCACTCTATTTGTCATCAGGTATTTTGCCTCCCTCCATGTCTTTCCTATTGTTTCCAATCAATACCTCCTAGAAGTAGAAAGGCCTCAGCACGGATCAATTTAGTAGTCCGATGTGAAGTAGTCAACTGCGAAGTAGACGAAAAATAAGTTGTTGTTGTTGTTAATTTACGTCGCACTAGAGCTGCACAATGGGCTATTGGCGACGGTCTGGGAAACATCCCGGAGGATGATCCGAAGACATGCCATCACAATTTTGATCCTCTGCAGAGACGATGGCACCTCCGCTTCGGTAGCCCGACGACCTACACGCGAAGTCGAGCACTTTACGGTAGAACAGTTTAACGAGGACCAATACCGCACACCCTCGGTCCCTAAGCAGTCTGATCCAAGTGATCACCCACCCGCACACTAACCGTAGCCAGTGATGCTTGACTTCGGTGATCTGCTGGGAACCGTGTCTTAACGATCAGTCCACTGCGGGACACGAAAAATAAGAAAGAAGTCATTACGTTAGGGGTACTAAGCTGCGCAGTGGTTGAAAATACAAAATATGTCATTACGTTTGGACTACTGAGGGATATTTATGGTAACCCGTGCTGAGGCCTGTTCTTTCTAGGAGGTGTTGTGTGTTGTTCCAATTCGCTTACTATCGTCCCGTGCTAAGTATTTTTAGGTCTTCCTCTTTTTCCTACCTATTGCCCTGAAGGTTCCAATCAAAAACTTGTGTTACTTTAAATTTTTCAGGTTTGTGTAAAACATGACCAATCCATTTACGTTTTTTAGTTTCCAGTTCAATCTGTTTCCGTTTTGCTTTTCCAAGGATTTCTGAAATACAAATTTTAAGGAACAACTCGATGCACAAGATTTTTGTTTAACTGTTCATAATAAATAGTTGAATTTTTTTCATGTTATTTTTATTGAAGTGCCATGTCTCATGTCCATAGACAGCTTTAACTTTAATTGTCAACATGTCCGAGCAAATTAAAAATCTTGTACAGTCAAAAAAAATCTTGTTTCACAAAGAAATAGATGAAAATGTATAAGAATTCTCCGTTCTTCATTTTATGTTTTAGTTTAATTAATTATTTTTTCTTTTATAGGACACTGCGATCACTCTAAAAAGACGCATTCACAATAGGTTCCTGATACAAGAAAAAGAAACTGAATTTTAAACTTTCTCACTATTAATCAGTTTCTTTGAATTTGCAAAAATATGCAATTTAGGTTTAATAGCCTTTTGATCGTGAGTTAAAGGTGATGTTGATAGCAAAGAACTTTATAACCTGCTTATTAAAAAAAATCTGCTACCATAGTTTAATTTTTACAATATTTTGTGGATTTTCATAATAAGGCCTACATATAAAGCGTTCATAGTTAAAATGATCAAATTGACAAAGTAACAATTCGTGACACTCAGTTTACAGAAAGGAAGTGAGAAAAAAAAATATTACCGAATGAGGTTTGCCGAAACAGCTTCTCAGTTGGTGGTTCCTCGTGAGTTTCTTCATCACACGTAAATTTCGCTTTCATATGTTCATGTATTTTTGAAGCACTGTGTGTTGCAAGTGGGATGGAAGCCATTTCTGTAAAATTAAATAGGAATAACTGATAGATTGTGCATGTATGTATAAAGTACATTAATACCTGAGCTTGATTAAGACTTTCAACGAGTGAGAGGGGTCATGAGTTAAAAATAATACATATTACGTAGAGAGGCATTAAAAATTAGGTACTGGATGATGCTCTATTACAGCGGTTCTCGAATACTGTTCTGCGAAGTTCTGAGAGTAAAGACTGATTTTTACCTCACAGTAATGAATTTAAAATCTGTATTTATAACTAGATCTAATTAATAAGCTGTTATTTATTTGGTATTTCATTTCTCTTTATGAAATTAAAATAAAATGTTAATAAAAAAGAAATATATATATTTTTTGTGAAATTATTATTTTTCCAATTACAATATCTCGAATAAATTATGAAAAGGACCTGCATTTATGAAAAACTGCATTTGCATTTCCATCGAGCTTTTTAAATAAAAAAAATAAAAAAACTAAATTTGTCAATAAAGAAATATGTTTCCCTGGTAACCATTTTCAACGTTTATAGTAGTTCTTTCATTTCATTGAACACTATAATTTGGCTTAGTTATTTTATTTTCAGCTAATGTATTTACACCAAAAACAAATTTTAAAATATATTATATACAGGTCTAAGAGTGCGAATTCAACTGTCGGATATAAAACCTAATTTAAGACTACTAATAAGCAAAATTATAGAAAAATTTGGGTAGACTATATTTGAGGGTGCCCCTTGATTCTTGCCAAGTTGTGATCGTGGTTGATCGCCAAGCTGGGTGATGGTGAAACCCAATCGTGATTCTAATTGGTTTATTTTAGCTTTATTTTTAAATGTTCAACGGTATATGTAATTTCAGAGGTCCGTTAGTTCTACGTTGGATACCGGCTGGTAAAGTTACTTTTGCTTCTGGTCAATAAGATCGAAGGTATGTGGGCAGTCATAAAAAGGGATTTAAGAAAAAAATGTCACCGCTAGTCCGGTATAACAGACGCTATTTTCGATTCGTATTTATGTGGCGATGGAGGTACACAGATTCTATTCATGATAAATTTAGACAATATCTAAAGGCCTGGTTTCTTAGGACAGGACGCCGTCAGCTGGAAATCAGCGCTAACCTCTGATTGGTCTATTTGTGAGTTTGATAATATACGTCATCGAACGCTCATCTTGAACTACAATTGCCGTCCAACTCAACTGCAGTTGGATTACAACGTGACGTTAACCACAGAAGCAATGGCGGACAACATCCAACAGCACATTGAAATCAGCCAAGATTTTGATTTTGACATTAAACATAGCTTCTTCATTAAACATAGCACTCTTCATTTAGCTCAGCTATAATGTGTTTTTTCTTGGACAAAGTCATTATTTGTTCTCTAAAACACTGGTCGACAATAACAAAATCAATACAAATTCAAAATAAATATTTGTTTACGTTATTAACGCATGCGTAATGAGAGATAATGTCTGCGTTGGACCGACTGCTTACGCTGAGCTAACAAAAAAGTATTTTTTTGGAGTCAGCTCTACGTCAACTTTCCGCTGACGCCCAGATAAGGCGCTAGTTCTAAGAAACCAGGCCTTGAGCTAACAAACCAGTGTTTTGTTGGCGTCAACGCGACGTTGACGTCCCGCTGACGCCCAGATAAGGCGCTTGTCCTAAGAAACCAGACCTTAACTGTTATTAGATAATTCTGTGCAACTAAATATGAGAATATTAATGAAGGAGTTGTTTTTTGCCTTTTCTTTCTGCGCCTACTCCATTAATTTTTGCTTCGATTCAAAATCCTTTTAATTGGGTTTATTAATTTTGCTTATATTGGGTTCATTGCAAGTTTTAGCCAATGTTTTGTTGAAGTTTTCCAATGTTTTATTGAAATATCACTATGTTTTGGCCACCATTCCTGTTACTACTGTGTTCCGCGCTAACAGGAATAGCTCCAAACATAAGTGGCCAATTTCGCCAAGGGACACCCTCAAGTATATTTTTCCCGAAAAATTCTATTGCTCTTATTAAATATTTTCAAAATAAAGTAGTTTTTTTTATAGTTTTAAAGTAGTTTTTATTACTCTCGCAGTAGTTTTTATATACTTTATTTTACATTGTTTTCATTACTTTATTGTTCACCAAAGTAAGGTTCCACCGAAAGAAGTTTGATTATTTAGGGTTCCATAGCCGCTGCTCTATTAGCTCTTGCGGTTATTAACCCCTGCTTGAACACTGTATCGTATACTGCATTACTTATTACAGCAAATGCAAATTTACACAAATCCCTTTGTTCTAAAGCAAGTCAAATACAAGGTGTAAGTGATTTCTGAAGTAAGATATACAGTCGAACTTCTATATAACGAACTTCCCTATTACGAATTTCTCTATTTTGCGAATTTTTTCAAGAAACCAAGAACATTTTGGAAATTTCTTCGTGAAATTGCTTCCAAATAGCGAAGTGAATTTTCTATTTAACGAGCTTTTCTTTGAGATCCACTTTCCGTATTTCCGTAAAATTTCCGAAAATTTTAAACTTGCTAGAGCATTTTATGGGGGAAACGCTCTTGAACTGATTTTCGAAGCCACTTAACTTTTAGAGAAAGTAGTAAAATCCCTTTCCTTTTATTTTTTAAACTAAAGAACGTATGTGGTAATGTATGTTTAATATTACTTTTATAATAAATGCAGATATAATTTTACACACAAATTTAGCTTCTTTTAGTTTAAAATATATGTAGCATGATAGTGTAACACTGGATAATGTTTTGCTCTATTCTTTCTTTCTATGCAGATTTCTTTTATGGTTAAGATTTTTAAAATAAATAGTAGATACTACTTTGCAAGATGAAGGTGTATTAATTGCTATTTTAATTATGTCTACTGTTTATGAATTTAAAACCTGTTTTCTGTCGTTTAAGTATTTCAAAAGATGACTTTCTCTTTAACGAATTTTCTATGTAACGAACTTATTTTCTGGATTTAGCGACTTCGTTAAATAGAGGTCTGACTTAAATTGAAGGGCTTGGTAAAAATTATAGACAAATAGAGATGTCCTAGCTGCTGTAACTTGAACGTATCTTTATCTTTCTATAACTGTCTCTCAATCTGCATTTATTGGTTAGTAACAGCTACAAAATTAATCGAGCGGGGAAAATGCATTATTGCCATTAATGGCTACAAGACGCAAACAATTAATGGATGGTTGGAGGAAAACTGATCTAGATCAGACTTGCAGATTGGTATTAACCCCTTAACGATCGGTTAATTTTCAAGAAAACGGTCATAAAAATGCCTATTTTTTTTTATCCCTGAAACTTTTATAAAAAATGTGTATGAACAATATATATATATATATATATATATATATATTCATTTTTAATTTTTTTTTTAGGTTGAAATTTTATAAAATTACATTTTTAGGATAAGCCAACATTCAGGGTTACTATGAATTAATGTTGGTTTTCCAGCAAGCAAGAAAAATTTAAAAAAATATGTGTTTTAAACATTAAAAAATAATTTTATTAAACTTACGTGTAATATAAATAAAGATTAATGATTTTTTCTTGTGTGATAAATTTCAAAGCATGAGAAGCATAGGCCAACGTCACCATCTGGACAGTAGTACCGACTTTCCTTCCTACATCTCTTATTGTTTTTATCTCTTTTCTACAATTACCTTAAAAAAAACCTGGTACTGCCATCTGGTATGCAAAATGAGAAATAAAATGTTTTCCTGGCAAAAGAAATAAATTAGTTTTATTCTTATTGGCGCGTTACTGCTGAACACTCCAACCCGGAAATTTCACGGGAGCGAGAAATAGAGGGCGAAACCTCACCCCGTCTTTTTCACGGGAGCGAGAAGAAAGGGGTTAAGTTACATTTTAGTGAATAAGGGAAGAAATAGTTTTAAAGTTAATAAATTGCTCTATTGTGGCTTGAAGGGTGGTCAAGCTGATCGCCGAAGGTGGCAAATATAAAAATATCAGATGAAAAGTAATGTAATACTCCACCTAATATAAGAATAGATAAGCTATAATCGTAAATCGCACTTTTAAGTTTCCATATAGAAATTAAATAGAGAAAGAAAAATATTTTTCTTACTGGCTTCTTCGGAAGTTCCGTTTCTGAGTGAAGAACACAGTTTGAAGAATATGGAGAGAACCTTGAAAGGTTCAGCAAGGAGAAGTTTGAAAATAGAGTGTCTACTCAGTTCTGCGTGAATGAGGCCCAACTTACCTGCAAACAAAATTTAAATAAAATTATTAATATCTCAAAAATATAAATATTTTATTTACTTTTACTTTGATCCTCGTGCGTGTGATTATTAGGGAATAGAGTGCATTTGAACTTATCCTGTAGTTGAAAGTTTTTTTTGACCAAAAAAGAAAAAAAAATGCTTATTAAATTTATGTTTTAACCCGAATTAATTTTGAATTAAGGAGGAAAAAACATTTTTTTTTTCCTTTGAATGGGTAAAAAATAATCCGAGTTCTTATTTTTTTAGACATATTTTCTTGTAAATAAATGAACGGCAGTTAACTCCGGAATTATTTTCCGTATCTTTTTACAAATTAGCACAATTATATATACCTTTTTGTAAATTAGCAAAATTATAAATACCTTTTTGTAAATTAGCAGAATTATAAATACCTTTTTATAAATTAGCAAAATTATAAATACCTTTTTATAAATTAACACAATTATAAGTACCTTTTTGTAAATCAGCAAAATTATAAATACCTTTTTATAAATTAGCAAAATTATAAATATCTTTTTATAAATTAGGAAAATTATAAATACCTTTTCATAAATTAGCACAATCATAAATACCTTTTTATAAATTAACAAAATTATAAATACCTTTTTATAAATTAGTACAATTATAAATATCTTTTTATTAATTAGCACAATTATAAATACCTTTTTATAAATTGGCAAAATTATAAATACCTTTCTATAAATTAGCACAATTATAAATAATTTCACCGGGAAATGCTTTGCATAAAGCATAAAAGGTTTCGAACTATGAGAGCTCAACTCGAGAATACTTTGTCTCATCGATAAATTCTTTCTTTCCAAAAAAAGTCTTATTTTTTAATTTTTATTTCTAAAGGACTGCTCGACCGATTTCGTTTAAATTTTGCATTTTACCATTCAAAATCATATAGTTTAAAATTTGTATACCCTACAATTTAGATTTACGAGTTTTCAAAAAGTTTTTGATTCACTTAGTTCCGCTTAAATATGGTTAACTACATAAAAAGTAAAATTAACTTAAATATGTGCATGTATTCGTCCTGTNACATACATACATACATACATACATACATACATACATACATACATACATACATACATATACACTCGAGGTTGGAACTTCAAGTCCTGGAGATTGCATCTATGCAAAGACTGTAGAATGCTCTATGATTCCTCGTATATTCTTTCAATATCAATAGATAAAAGTTATTAAAGTCTTCCGTTTTTTATTTTGAGTTCTGTGCATACATTGAACCATAATATCGTAGATGTTTATTGACATCTTGGAAGGGTGTCAATATACTGTGTTATTGTAGCCTTCTTCGTTTCTTCTCAATTTGTTTTTTCCCCACTAGAATTTCAGATAAGGAGGAGTTTTTTTTTAAAGAATAAAAATATTTTGTTTAAAAATTATGCTTTTTTAAGTATAAAAAATTATATATAGATTCTAGTTAGAATTGGAGGGGGGGGAAACAACGCCCAGCTAACATTTAAGATAGGGAAAAATTACTACACATACATTTTGTAAGAATTGCTGTTATCAAAATAATACTTACAACTGAAATTCAAAATTTCAAGTATTGTTTGAAAAAAAGATTATGAAACAGTTAGGGTTAAACAAATATAAGTCATGGTCTATTGTGTAGCAAAGGTTTTAATGGAGTTACGCGCGTGTATATTGGATGATAAAAAGGAGGAAAATGTCTGATCTTAACTCATTTATATGACTCGTATCAAGGAGAATATCTAAATAATCAAAGGATCGTTATTCTACATATTAGCTACTCGTGAGTGTACTTTAACCCTAATCGCGTGAATTACTCTTGAAGGACGAAACTTCGAATACTTAGAGAATATTTTTGTTTCAGATGCAGTAAAAATCTCAAGGACTTTTACGCTATACACTAAGATTAACTTATTTTATTTTATAATCGTCGTTGAACAGCCGACCTAATTTAGGGCTTACGGCTACCGATAACAAGCTTAAGCCCGTCCCGCCCCCGTAATGGGGCATCCGGGGGCACTCCGAAAGTTCGAAGTGAGCGTAACAGTTCAATTACATGAGCAAACATATTCAAAATTTTCAAATTAGAGTTTTAACAAATAGGTAGAATATTAAATATGAAATCGGTAACTTACGGCTACCGATGTTCAACTCCGTAGCCTTGTAATTTTGAACCCAATCCATAAGACATGGGAACTCCTTGATCAAGAATCGGGAGAAATTTACCTTCGTGAAGGACTTTTTTGGTGGAACTAACCCGAATTTGTGTTTCACGGAGAGAAAAAACCTCCCAAGCTTAGCCTTACTGCAAGGGGACTCTAACCCACGATCCTTCTACCAGTAAGGATATGTTACGTTAGCACTGTGGTCAGTGCGAGCAGAGTGCGGAATTCGTATTAACCAACCAACGTTGGGATTCGAACTATATTCACCTCATTGAAATGCGTGTGCTTTATCCCCATAGCCAGTGTTTCCCAAAGTGTGGTACGCGTACCCCCAGGGGTACGGCAACAGTTTACCGGGGGTACGTGTTCTTAGGCGAAATATCTTGCAACAAACGAAAATTTAAAAAAAATTTATTTAAAAACAAAGATAGCCATGAAAATTAACGATTACGTATTTTTCTATTGGCTATTTTTTGCAGAGTTAACAGTTAATAATTAGTGGTGACCACAGCCAGTTGTGATTTTTAACTTTTGTGCAATTTTTATATAGTAAAAAAAAAACATTCATTTTTTTAATAGTGGTGCACAGCGTTACGAAAAATTTAGAAAAGTCATAAGTTTGGGAAACACTGCTCTAAGCCACTACGTCTCTAAGATTAACATATACAAATTTTTACATTTCAAAATAAATTCTAAGTTGAGTTTCTTTGATTTTATTTTGTGCGATAAACTATTACTAACAGTGACGCGCTGACGCGTTTGGATGACAAAGACTAGACGCATATGTCACTCTGCTCCTGAAAAGAAGTATGTATTCATATTATATTTCAAACCGGCTTTGAACAGCAGACCCGATTTCTGAGTTTACGACTATCAATGTTCAACTCCGCAGCCTTGTAATTTTGAACCTAACCCAGAAGACATGGGAACTCCTGTATCAAACATTCAGATAAAATAGTCTTTGAGGTGGACTATTTGATGAACTAACCCACATTTTCATTCAATATTGAGAAGAAAATCACGAAAACCTCCCACCGTTAGCCCGACGGCAAGGGGATTCTAACTCACGATCCGTCTTCCACTGAGGGTAATTTACGTCGGAACTCTAGTCAGTGCTATCCGGAGGCAGAATTCGTATCAACGAGCCACAACTAGAATTCGAATCTGGGTCACCTCAGCGGGAGGCGAACGCTCAATCCCCTGAGAGTCGTAGTTTCTTCCATTTCTACCTCTGCAAGCCACTGATTACTAGTTGCCTACTGTAGAAAAAAATTAACCAGATAATAAAAAAAACTGAGTGGCAAAAGTTTGTGACCCCCGCCCCCCAAATATAGGCGGCAGTCGCAATCTGGGATAGCGGTGCAAAGTTTGGACCCCTTAATGTTAATTTTATTTTTTGCGAATAGAATTATTTTTGGAAAAAAGAATTTCATAATTTGGTGCAAAATTTTTTTAATTCTCTAAAAAAGTTCTAAAAAATAACGCAAAAAATAAAATTAACATAAAAGTGTCCAAAATTTGAATCTCTCCCGTGACCAAAATATGGGTCAAAATAAGGTTAAAAAAAAACCACAATTACTTATTTCCAAGATTGCGGCTACCCCCTATATTTTGGGCTCAGAAACCATGTCTGCAGTTTCAAACTTTCCATAGTGGTAATGAAATTATATTGTAAAGGGAGCAAATGTTTTTTGGAATTCTGATAGAACTGAAAAACGTAACGCAACGTAAGCACAATGGCTAAGAAATTCATCACCGACCACTTTTTTCATTCTTTACTAATTGTAATTGAAGGAAAAATTTGTGCGAAAAGGTAATGACCTAGTAAACGAGTCATCACATTCAAGATTGTTTAAACTCAGGGCTAAGGAAGGGCTGGTTCACTCCTTTGAAGTAACTCTCGCCCCGCCAATCCTCCGATTTTCTCTAGTGACGTCACTTTGGCTCAAAGCTCGCACTTTTACTTCAAGAACGGGGAGCGTTCAGCCTTACTAGCTCTAACTAATATTGGATCATTTCTTTTTGAGAGATATTCTAAAGGCCTGGTTTCTTAGGACAGGACGCCGTCAGCTGGAAATCAGCGCTAACCTCTGATTGGTCCATTTGTGAGTTTGATAGTATACGTCATCGAACGCTCATCTTGAACTACAATTGCCGTCCAACTCAACTGCAGTTGGATTACAACGTGACGTTAACCACAGAAGCAATGGCGGACAACATCCAACAGCACATTGAAATCAGCCAAGATTTTGATTTTGACATTAAACATAGCTTCTTCATTAAACATAGCACTCTTCATTTAGCTCAGCTATAATGTGTTTTTTCTTGGACAAAGTCATTATTTGTTCTCTAAAACACTG